GCATACGCCACATCGAACAACCAAAGAAGGGAGAGAGCATCCTGGCCCATCGCTCGATTGTCTGGACGGAAGAGTAGTAATTCTCTATCTGACAATTCTGGTAAGTCGCCATCAGGTCGATCTGGAGTATGCCCCAACGATGGGCAATCCATGAGAAGACTTCCGGGTAAAACCTCTATTCTCCTGGAAGAATTTCTGTTCTGCTGAGGAAGTCCACAGTAATGTTCTCTGATAGATTGCCTTCAGACCTTGGAGACTGTTCATGGCCACTTTCATCAAGGGAGCTAGTTTCTTCAAGAGCAATCTGCTTCTTGTGCCCCCTTGGTTGTTCACATGCGAGGCAACCGCTCGGTTGTCTATTTTGATCAGGACCCAAGATTTTTCAATTATCCGAAGTAATTCCAAGATGGCTCTGGAAATGGCCCTTAGCTCCCTTAAATTTGAGTGTAGATGACTCTCTTCTCGGGTCCACTTCCCTTGTTTCCTTGTGGAATTGAAGTGGGCACCCCATCCAAAAGAACTTGCATCTGTTGTAATAACATTCCAAGGAGGTTTCTCTAACGGGAAGCTTTTTGCCAAATTCTTCTTGCCCCCCCCCCCCCCCCCACCAGTTCAACCCTTTTCTTACCGGCAGGGGCAGAGTTATAATTGCTCCCAATCTGTTTCTACTCTGTTGAACTGAAGAAGGAATCAATTCTGAATAGGACGAAACATCCATTGGGCCCATTTTACCAGCCCAATTGTTGATGTCAAAGAACCTAGGAGACTCATGACTTCTCTCTCTGAGGCTGTTTTGAGATATTTTAGTTTTCCGATTTTGTTTTGGATTTTTAGGGCCCTTTCTGGAGAGAGGAACACATGGTCTGAGATCATGTCTACCAAGGAATTTGATTTTTTGAGAAGGAATTAGGGAGCTCTTCTCTACGTTCAGAAGCCAACCGTGATCTTGAAGAATGTTCATCGCCAATAGAGTATGATGAGCCAATATCCTTTGGGATGGACCTAAGATGAGGATAACATTCAAGTAATGGAAGATTTTGATACCTCTTACTCTTATGAAGGCTATTAAAGCGACAAGAACTTTTTAGAATGTTCTTGGTGCCAAGCTGAGGCCAAACGGTAGTCCCCGGAATTGAAAGTGTCTTCCTAGAGCCCAGAATCAGAGAAATTTTACATGATCGCAGTTTATAGGGATTTGATAGTAGGCGTCACTCAAGTCTATAGAAGTCATCCAAACCCCTTTTTTAATGCTTTTCAAGATGGTCTGTAAGGATTCTATTGTGAACGTTCTCACGCCGAGCATGGAGTTCACTCCTTTTAAGTTCAGGATTAGACGCCACTTTCCTAGGCATTTTGGAGCCAAGAACACTGTGGAGTAAACTCATTTTAACCTTTCCTCTTTCGGAACTTCTTCTATAACCCTGTATTACTGACGACTAGAGATGCATTTCCTCATGGCTCCTTGTTTGATGCCCATCAACACCCTCGACTTCCTGAAGAGAACGGATTTTGGGTAAGAGGGGAACTCTATCCTGTAACCTTCTTTTATGATGGAATTCACCCAGACGTCTGTGATATTTGTGGTCCACACCGGGTAGAAGAACCTTAGTCTTCCTCCCACAATTCCCGAATGAGCCTGAAGACCTTCAGAAGTTCTTCACAGAGGTTCTAGATCCTCTACCTCTGGAAGCCTTATTGGTCGATGAATGGGAGAAGCTTTTCCAAGAGGAATTTCTAGAATACTCCCTTCCTGGTTTATAGCTTCTGCTATCCCAAAAGGACCGATCCTTGAAGCGTTTAGTCTTCCAGGAAGAGGAAAAAGTATTTCTTCTCTCTTGTGGCAAAAAAGCTTTTTTCCAGAATCTTACTGAATAATAAATCCCCCTGGAACGGAAGGCCACACAAAGATGCCTTGGAGGCATAGTCGGCACCCCATGAATGAAGCTATAAGGCCCTTCTAGAGGCCACAGACAGGGCCATACTTTTAGCAATCATTCAAGTGATGTCTATAGAGGCTTCTGAGCAGAATTCTGTAGCAAGGCTAAAGTCTTCGAGACTTTCCAGGAAATATTCCCTGCGGACTCCACAGTCAGTGTCCTCCTCCAGATTTTTTTTTTTATTAATTCTTTATTTTTCATTTACATGGCTTTTGAAAATACAGCACAAAATTATTATTTTTTAGAGTACAGACTAAGCATTACATATCTGGCATAATTGAGGGAGAAATACTGGGCTATGCAAAGTCATAGACATAGTGAGAAGTAAGTTAGAGTGGGGTGTAAAGCATGCTTAAAATAGTGTGTAGCTACTCTCCAGGTATGCAGTGGTAGTGCAAAACGACAGTAGGTATACCAATTAATTTGAGTGCAGCTAGGAGCTACTGGCTGAGCAGTGGTAATGGGGATCAGTATTATTTGTGAGCGTATCGCATCCCGTGGTCAATAATACTACAGAGTATAACTTGAGACTGGAGTTGCTATGATGTGAATGAGGAGTACCAAAAATGCAAACGATATGACATAGTAGTTTCTCACATTGACAGTAGTAAGTTGAGTGACGCCTTATTTATCCCCAGCATGGTTCCTGAGTTATCTGTTTTTTAATCTGTATAAAACAAGTGCACTTTTAGTCACGTCTCAAGATTCGGGCCTTCCTGTCTATGGTCGTCTAGGTGTGAGCCCTTGTAAATGGTTCATAGTCGGTTGTTGGGGGCCCGTCTGGTTGCAACTGGGCCTAAGTGACCCTTTATTAGCTTGTTGTGCTATCAGTTGTCTATGTATAAGCATGGCATGTTCTGTTCTATTCTCATAAATGAAATTCCTACACCTATAGCAACGCTAGGAGGGATATTTATAGGGTGTCTACTAGTGGAGTTAGCGTGTGCTTTCGTGGGTAGGGTATGCTATGTCCCTAACCCTAGGGGACATCGGGGGGAGGGGGGAGGTGAGTGTAGTCTAGTCGATGGTGAGCAGTCGTGAGCTAGATCGTGTCCAGGAGGACGACTGCCTAGGTGCACAGATATCTCTGGGGCTTCAGTCAGATCAGTATATGAAAGTTTTAGTTACCGGGTAAAAACAACCTTGAAAACATATTACAAAATGTGAAACAATAAAACTATAGTGCTGCAACTTAAGAGGAGGTGGCACTTTATGTCACGTCACCCTGCCCGTTCCGTGGGGTGAATGGGATAATGTTATCCAAGTCCCAAGTCCCGTTAGCATCTCTGGCTCTTGTAGGGCATCATTGATGCCCACTGCTGCTAGGAAGGTCGGTTGCCTTCAGCTGTGTGCCGTTTTTGTATACCGTAAGGGACCTGGGCGTTGACCATCGGCATGATATGCCCACTTCTTGTAGTTTTCGCGTGATGGGTTGCATCGTTTTCCGCCATGTTAGCGTGGAACGGTGGAGATCCTGAAAAAGCGAGATCTTGTGAGTCTCAAAGTCCATAGGTGTCTTGTTGAATGTTGCTTTCAGTAGGGCATGCTTGTCTTGTCTCGTACCACAGCATAAGATTATGTTCCTTGGGGCTGTGTTCCGCGCCCTGGGGGACTTGGCTATGCGGTAGGCCCCGTCGTGCGTGAATTGTTTGGCCTGTTTTGCCGGGAGTAGTTTGAACACCATTCTCCTTATGAGGTGTGGTATTTCTTCGGGGGTGACTGTTTCTGCAACCCCTCGTATCTTGATATTTTTCTGGCGTGCTCTTTCATCCATGGTGTCTATTCTCAGCGAGGTTTCCGTGTGGGACCCCTGTAACTGTTTGACTGTGTCTGTTAATGCCGTTAGATGATGTTGTAGGTCAGCCACAGTGGAGTCCGTTGCCTGGACATGAGCAGTTACCGCTTGCACTTCTGTGCGCACCGCGGCTATATCTGTCGCAAATAGTTGTTGGATGCGGTTAAAAAGGTTGTCGATGTCCAGCTTAGTCGCAGGGCCCTGGCTAGTCGGGGTTTGCGTTGTCTGGAGCCCTGTTGGTGGTGGCTCCTGTATGGTGTCACTCACCCCTCCTGTCTCTTTAAGGTCTTTGGCCCCCGGTTCAGTCAGCTCCTGCTCCCTGGGCTTTGGTGTGCGTTGTAGCAGCAAGCCTATGTCCTGCATATCTTGTGAGACGGCCGCTTGGGATTTGTGGGATTTTTTCCCCATTGCTTCTGACCTTTGAGCCTGTGTCTGTAGGGGATCTGGTGTGAGCCAGTCCAAGTCCCACCAGGCTGCTGAAGTGTGCGGTGTGATTTTCGGGCCGGCCGCGTGGGAGGCCTTGGGTGGTCGGCGTTTATGTTTGGTGCCTGTTTGCTGAAAAAAAGGCATCGGCAGTGGCATACATACCAGGGTCACAGGGGCACCGGCACGCGGCGCGCAAAGGAGCTGAAGAGGAAGCACTCAGGGGAGAGTGCTCCCTCGCGTGACCGCAGGGCCAGCCTGCCCAGGAGCCCAGCAGCACCACTGGACCCCAGGGAATCCCCCCAGCACTCCAAAAGGTAAGGAGGCTGGGGGATTACATTTTAAAAAAAACATGTGTTAGTGTGGGTGTCTGTGTGTGGGTGTTAGTGTGTGTGAGTGTTAGTGTATGTTAGTGTGTGTGTTTGTATGTGTGTTTGTGTGTGAGTGTTAGTGTGTGTTAGTGTGAGTGTTAGTGTGAGTGTTAGAGTGTGTGTGTCTGCTAGTGAGTGTCAGTGAGTATGTCTGTTGAGTGTGTGTCTGCTAGTGAGTGTCAGTGAGTGTGTTACTGTGTGTGTGTTACTGAGTGTGTTTGTGTGTGTGTTAGTGAGTCTGTTTGATGTATGTTAGTGAGTGTGTGTTTGTCAATGAGAGTGTATGTTTTGTAAGTGAGTGTGTATGTTTTGTGAGTGTGTATGTCTGTCGTTGAGTGTGTCTCTGTCAGTAAATGTGTGTGTCTGTTAGCTAGTGTGTATGCGTCTGTTCGTGAGAGTGTGTGTGTCTTCAGCACTTACCTTTCTCCAGCGCTGGGGATCCCTCCGCCTCTCAGCTCCGAATGCGCATGCGCGGCAAGAGCCGCTTGCGCATTCAAACAGCCCATAGGAAAGCATTACTCAATGCTTTCCTATGGACGTTCAGTGTCTTAGAATCGCGGAAGCTGGATTAACCCTCAGTGAAACATAGCAGTTTCTCTGAAACTTTTCAGCTGCAGGGTTTAAACTAGAGGGACCTAACAACCAGACCACTTCATTGAGTTGATGTGATCTGGGTGTCTGTAGTGGTCCTTTAAGTGTGTGTGCATCTGCATGCACTGGCGTACATACCGTGGTCGCAGGGGTTGCAGCCATTCAACCCCTGCGACCAGGTGCCCGCCGCCATGTGTTGAGGCCCAGGACCGCGCAGCATGGGGGGGAGGTGGGCCCACGGATCAATTTTCGCACCGGGGCCCCATGGGTCATGTGTACGCCACTGGGCATCGGTGTGTGCCTCTCACTCTCCTGCAGTCAATGGTATCGTGCAGGTAAGTCGTGTGCCAGTGGGTTTGGGATAAATCCCTGACTTTTAGTTTTTAGGTCGAGGAGCCCCAGAGATGGCGTCTGTGATGGTCGCCTGTCAAGCTCCGCCCCCCATCCTCCTCCAGATTTGCGAGCCATACTCTTAAGGCCCTTGAGAGAGTGGTTAGAGCCACCGCAGGATGGAGGGCAAAGCCTAGGTCTAGATAAGATTTTATGAGATCCCCATCCATACATTTTTCCATAGGTTCTCTAAGGTAGGCTATGGAGTCAATGGGGAGCGTAGTTTTCTTGGCCATATGAATCACTGCAGCATTTATTTTTGGGACAGAGTTTCATTATTTGCAGTCAATGGCAGAGTAAGGATATATCCATGTGAACTTATTCTTTAAGGTGGATTTTCTTTCCCGCTTGTTCCATTCTTGAAGGATCGTATACCTGATTGAAGAATGCACTGGGAATGTTGGCCTGTTAGGCTTTAGGTCCTCAAAGAACCTGTCAGCCTCTCTCAACTCCGACTTCTCTTTTATGAGACTAAGAGTGTCCATGATAAGGGTAATCAGCCTATTAAATAGACTTAGAGTCAAGAGACCTGGAGGTATATTCAGCTTCCTCCTCACCATCATCTGAGACCTCCCACATATCATGGTCTTCCTCAGAGCATGAAGACTGAGCTTCCACTCTGCGTCTCTTACATGGACCACCTTTATCCATGGTAGACTTAAAGCCCTCAGCAATAGTTTGGGAAATCCTGAATATAAGGTCGTCCTGTTGGGAACTCCTATTGGAAGCATCCGCTATTTCCAATAAGCATTCTCTGCAGAGGCTCCTTCCCTGAACGATCAGCGGCATAGAGCCCCAGCAACCAAGACAAAGAGAGACAAAGACAGGTAAAACAAGGAAAAAAGGAGGTAAAGAAGAGCATCCCTTTAATGGGTCCCTCCAACTGGAGGACCCCACTCTAGTATGGATCCCAATAAACTGCCACTTGGGGGGGGAGATTTAGGCCCCAATTTGTATGGGTAATTCCAAAAAAAGGGGAATTTTTAAGGAGGTCCAACCCCATCAAATACCTTGTAGCTGTGTCACCCTCAGAACACAAAATTTAATCCCACGCAGCAGTTCAGTACTCACACTGAACCTGACCCAGTTAGTTGTTTACTGGATCCTTCAAATGAAGAGAAGCTGAACTTCATTTGGAACGAACCCAATGACAAACGCAGGTGGCCAAAAAAAGAAAAGTGTTTTAAGTCCTGTAGAATCAGCTAAGGACAGGGAAAAAGGTGACTTTGGTGTAAGGGGAGGAGGGACTCTTTATACCTATCAGTCTAATTAATCTAATTAATTCCTGTTCTGTGACTGCTAAGGGGGGAGCTACCCATAAGTGATGCTGCCATGATGAGCCAGGAAAAAAACATTTTAGCAGTTTGGTGGTCTGGATCATGCAGGTGTGTGTTAACATAATGCCAAGGAGGAAAGACATCAGCAATAATCTTAGAGAAGCAATTGTTACTGCCCATCAAACTGGGAAGGGTAATTTCCAAACAATTTAAAGTACATCACTCTACAGTGAGAAAGAGTATTCAAAAGTGGAAAACATTCAAGACAGTTGCCAATCTCCCCAGGAGTGGACGTCCAAAACATATTCACCTCAAGGTCAGACCATGCTATGCTCAGAGAAATTGCAAAAAAAAAGAACAAAAAAGCAAGAGTTACATCTAGTTCATGACAGTAAAATTAAAAAAAGACTGAACAAATATAATTTGTTTGGAAGTGTTGCCAGGAAATAGCCTTGTCTAAAAAGAACATAGCAACATGGCTAGGATTTGCAAAGTTGCATCTGAACAAACCACAAGACTTCTGGAACAATATTTATGGACAGACGAGATCAAAGTGGAGATGTTTGGCCGTAATGCACAGCGCCACATTTGGCACAAACCAAACACTGCATAAGGGAACAAACAACTCATACCAACTAAACACAAAAAAGTATGTGATTAAAGCGGCACTGTCATGCCGAATCTCGGTTTTTTTTTTTAACCCCCCTCCCGCCTCCACTACATCCAATTGACCCACTAGTCACCCCCAAATGCCCCTATGCCCCCCACATTACCTATTTTTTAATCCTTATTTTCTGCCCCGATCTTGATTCAGGGCGCCGCCATCTTTGTGTGGGTAGGTGAAGTCCCTGTGGGACACGTCATCAGCCCACACTAGGCAGACTGTGAGATTCCCGCACATGCCCAGTGAAACACCTGGACATGCGAACGGGAATTTCATCTATTCACTCATTCATCAGACAGACGAATGAGTGAATAGAAAGATCAGCCGAACAAACAAACACAATGTATCAGTGTATGTTTGTTCGTGCAGCTTATTACAGGGAGGGAGCTACCGGCGTGCAGCTCCCTCCTTGTAATATGTAAAGATAGAAGCGGCAGGGAGCAGTGCTCACCACCACTTCATAAGCCCCCCCAGTACCCCCTCTCACTCTATGGGGGTCAATATGACCCCCATAATAGCACAAGGGAGATTAAAATCTCCCAAATGCCCCTACTCGCTATACCGCGAGTAGGGGCATGTCTACTAAACAGTGAGCAGCCTGTGGCTGCTCACTGTTGAAACAAATGACATAAATTACAATAAGGGGGGGCGGACCTATTGTCCTCCCCCCCTCCCCCACCCTGAGCGGCGTGGGGGCCCTAATAAAACAATAAGGGGGGGGGACCTACTGTCCTCCCCCCCCTGACCCCCACCCCTGAGCGGTGGGTGGGGGCCCTTATAAAACAATAAGGGGGGGGACCTACTTCCTCCCCCCCTGCCCCCACCCCTGCGCGGTGGGTGGGGGCCCTACTGTCCTCCCCCCCGGCCCCCACCCCTGAGCGGTGGGTGGGGGCCCTAAATAAAGATATGGGGGGGGAACTTCTGGCCCCCACCCCTGCACGGTGGGTGGGGGGCCCTAATAAAACAATAAGGGGG